ACAGGGGGCCCGGCCCCTCCAACGCTGCCCCGCCTCACCCTCAGCCTGAGGCCCAGAGACGCAGCAGTGATGTGTGCAGAGCTTCCGGAAGCTTCCTCCTCCCTGTGCTGGAGGACACGCTGGAAGCCACTCGTCCTCACCTTCACTGTGAAGCCTGCGCTGGCGTCTTCAGGCGCCGCTGTCAGCCACCCAGCCCGGGGAAGCGGCGACCATCAGAGGGGCAGGGCAGGGGCCACAGCGGAGACGGAGGCCCGGGGTCTGGTGACCTTCTCCGATGCCGGGTCAGCCGCTCACAGCCGCTCCCTCTGGGTTTTCCGTGACGTTAGCCAACACCTTCCATCCCTTTAAACCAGCTTCTCCTATGATCCCCAAACCGGCCTCGGTGATAGATGTGGTCACAACGCCTCTCCTGGCGGCCTGGCAGGCGGGCGACGTGACACCAACATCCCCACACCCGGCCCCGAAGACCTGCTCCTGCGCTGGGTCAGCGTGCTCATCCCGTGGGCCTCTCAACATTGCGACCCACGTGTTTATTTATTTTAAATATATTTGTATTGATTTCAGAGAGGAAGGGAGAGGGAGAAAGAGAGAGAAACATCCATGATGAGAGAGAACCATGGATCGGCTGCCTCCTGCACGCTCCACACTGGGGATGGAGCCCACCCCCCGGGCCTGTGTCCCGACCGGGAATAGAACTGTGACCCCCTGGTTCATGGGTCGGCGCTCAACCGTGGACGGGGCCCCACGCGTCTGTTGTCAATTGTCTGACACCCGGATGGATAAGCCGCCTGCGGTTCTCAGTGTGGCTTCCCCGCCTGCTGCTGTTTCCATCAACACACAGGAGGGCCCCTCTCTCGGACAACACTTCCTGGTTATACCGACTCAGATTCATTCAAATCAGAACGGCAATCCCAGGCCATTTGAGTTCAGCATTTATTTGCATCTTGTTACCCTGACAGTGGCCTGAGCTGGCGCACCTGTGGTTCCCTTCGCAGGGAGGATGACGAGGCGGCCGCTCGCGGCCGCAGAGCTGAGCCTCTCGCCCCAGGACCCTCCACAGCCTGGTCTCCTCTCCCCTCGCTGTGCTGCACAGCAACGGCCCCAACGTCCTGGTCGGTGGACAATGTGGCCTCGGACCTCTGGCCCTTCTACTGTCCAGTGTGTAATTCACAGTCATTTCATGACTGGGAAGGGGTTTGGAAATGAACTTGAATTCTTTCTTCCCCACGTGAAAGCCTTATGCACAGTCATACGTCAGTGTGTTTTTTAAACATGTTTTTATTGATTTCAGAGAGGAAGGGAGAGGGTGAGAGGGAGAGAAACATCAATGATGAGAGAGAATCATGGATTGGCTGCCTCTTGCATGCCCCACACTGGGGATCAAGCCCACAACCTGGGCATGTGCCCTGACCAGGAATCGAACCCTGACCTCCTGGTTCCTAGGTGGACGCTCAACCACTGAGCCACACCGGCCGGGCGAAAACACAAGGGCAAACCTTTATGATCTCGGATTTGGCAATGGCATCTCGGATATGACACCAAAAACAACAAAAGAAAAAAATTAAGATAAATGGCGTTTCACTAAAATTAGAAACTTGTGGACCCAAGAGTCTTATCAATAAAGTGAAAAGGCAGCCTGCCAAGTGCAAGAAAATGTTTGCCAACCACATACCTGATTTGCTCTAGAGCAGAATAAAGAACTCTGGGCACTCGACAACAACAGAAAGCCAGCCCCGTAGAAAGCGGACGCAGGATCTGAATAGTCATTTCTCCCAAGTGGCCAAGCAGCCAAGTCCTCGGTCATCAGGGAGATGCAGAGCCAAACCTCGGTGGATAGCGCTCCGCACCCCCGAACGGCCACTGCGAAACCAGAAAGCCAGCGAGTGAGGACGGGGAGAAGCGAGCGGGCGCCTCTGCAGAAAACAGCCTGGCGGCTCCTCCAAAAGTTAAACATTGAATGACCTACCACCCGGCAATGTCACGCCCAGGCTAACACCACAAAGGACTGAAAAAGGACTCACACACACACACTCACACACACACACACACACACTCACACACACACACACACACACACACACACACACCTGTACTTGACTGTCCACAGCGGCATTCTCCACAGCAGCTCAAAGGTGGAGACAAGCCAGGTGTCCAGCCACCAGTGAGCGGGCAAATGGAACGTGGCCCGCCCGCACGATGCAGCATTACTCATCCGTAAGGAAGGAGTGCGTGCCACCTGCTGGAATGTGGATGCGGGAAATGTGAAGCTAAGTGAAAGACGCCGGACACACACAGAAGGACACACAGGTTGTATGATCCTCTTCACGCGGGACACCCAGACGAGGGAGGTCTACGGGGACCGAGCAGGTGGCTGGTGCCAGGCCTCCGAGCCCAGGAAGCGGGGTGACACCCTGTAGGCGCCCATTCCTGTGGGAGGGAAGGGAGTGTGTTTAACTTGGCGGGTGTGCAGGTCACACATCAGCCAGGACGGGCTCAATGCCACGGAAGTGCACACTTCGAAGTGGTCCATTTCATGCTCTAGAGAGTTCACCTCAATAGACAGTGAACAACAATGGGATACGTTTTTATCTGACGAGGCTAGAGAAGTAGAAGGCCCCGAGAGCAGAGAGAATGATTAATGAAGCCGGCAGTCTCCGGGCGGGCGGATCAGGAAGTGGGATGGAAAGGAGGGGCCAATGGGAGCTGGTGGATGGTGACCGCGGTCACAGACCCGGAAGGTCAGGGCGCTGTGAAGAGCTTTGCCGATGGGTGTGGGGCTCTCGGTGGAGTGAAGAGGTGCCTGAACGGCACCAGTTACAAACCTGAGAGAAGAGGAAACGGCAAATCCGAACGGCTCTGCGCCTCCTCCAAAACTCGGCCCCACAAAGAGGGCGCTCCGAGGACCGTGTCCCTGCCGAAACCCATAAACCGCTAAGGAAAAGCCATCTACGCAACCTCTTCAGCAGACAAAGGTGCAGATCGCGTATTCCAAAGGGTTTTCCGTAGATGGCGTGACCCTATCACGAGGATGGGACAGAGAGGCGGCAAGCACAACCGCAGACCCCTCCCCCTCCCCACAGTGAGGAGGCTGCCGCCCACGCTGTGTGCATCCACCCAGGGCTGCATCCGGACTGGAGTGTCATCACCCGCCCCCTCTCACGTGACACGTTTCCCATCAAATATCGTGGGAATCATGCATACCTGGGGCAGGTCTTCCTACAGGGCGGAGGAGGAACACTGAGAATGCGGAATGTGAGTGTCTGTTGGCCAGACTTAACCAACGTTGCTACAGAGAAGCGAGAACGCCAGGGCAGTGGCGTCATAACCAATGCTACTATAGAGAAGCAGGAATCTGTATATATAAAAGCCTAATATGCAAATTGTCCCCGTGGGAGTACAACCGGGAGACTGATCGCTCGCTATGACATGCGCTGACCACCAGGGGGTGGCGTGGAACAAAGGAAGGCCCCGGCTGGCAGCCAGAGGCCCCAATTGGCCCTGATCGCTGGCCAGGCCTAGGGACCCTACCCGCGCACGAATTTCATGCACCGGGCCTCTAGTTCCACATGATAACCAACATGGCAATAGAGAAACAGGAATTCTAGGGCAATAGATTCATAACCAACGCTGCTATAGAGAAGCAAGAATTCAAGGGGCGCTGGCATTGCCGCAACACAAACCACAGGGGAGGATGGAATGTCAATACAGACTGTAACTTAGCTTACTCATAGGCTTCCAGGAGCAGCGATGGCTCGGCCCCTGCGACGGCTCCTGCCCAGGTGGTCAGAGCAGGCGTGCCTTGGCCGACTTTACCATCGTGGAGCCCGAACATCTGAAGTCCAGATGCGGCTGAGGAGTGAGCCGTGTCCCCAAATCTCGCCAGCACGGTTCTGAGATGGAAAAGAAATAACCGTACTGAGCGCAGGACCTGCTATTGTCCAGCAGGTGATGTTTCTCCCAGGCGAATGCTTCGAAGAGACCATCAAAAGAATCCCTACGTTCAGACGCACCTATTGTCAGCGATTTTTCCCTTGAGAAATTGTATTTATTGTTCTTAACGACACCTAATTCATCTCATCACACATCTGAGCGCACCTATTGAGTGAAGAGGGAGTGGATTTCATGTTTATGACTCGTCATTGAATCGGCACTTGGTTAAATCCTACTTATTTATTACTGCAGACGCCCCCTCTCCGGTCCACACGGGGGTCTCCCTGTCACTTTGGTTGCCGTCATGTCTCATGTCATCGTGACGGGAGCTCAGCTGAGCAGGTCAGGGGCTGGCGCACCCCTGGGTGACGCAGCTTATCTTCTGAGGCGGCCAAAGCAAGACGTGTTTCCAGAATGCCCTCGTCACGTGGCTGCGGGATGGGAAAATGAAGCTGCCGCCCGCAGGAGTGAGGCGAGCCCCACCCCCGGCCACCCTCCTGCATCTACTGAACCAGCCATCCTGAGCTGGAGACATCACCCAGCCCCGCCCAGACCGTGGGAGCAGGAGTCCCCTCCCTCGCAGCCAGGGCATGCGGGCAGTGTCGGCTTCGGTGTTTGCCGTTTCGACAACATTGTTTTTTCTTGCCTGCTGTCTCCATGTGCAGAAGACATTGTTCAGGGTGCCAGCTGGCGCTTGCCACACTGCTTCTGGTCACGTAAGTTATTTCTTAAGCAGGTTACGTCGCAGCACGGGGAGGCCGCGCGTGTGGAAGCTCACTGGGGAGGTGTGTTCTTGCCCCTCCCATGTGCACGCTCCTGCTCCTACGTCCTCGCCCATCTCGGCCATCTCAGGTCCTCCACACTCACTGTGCAGCTCTGGGCGTAATGACTGCGCTCTCTCTCTCTCTCTCTCTCTCTCACACACACACACACACACACACACACACACACACACCTGCATGCCTGTCTGTTGTCATCTCATCGCCTCCCTAAATGTTTCCGGTTTTACTCCTGCTTTAATTCAAGCCAGCACAGTATTTCCTTAGATATCTGGTCACAGGCCAGGCAAGTCTAGTCTTCTGAGCCCCTGTCTCCTTCTGCATCATCTGCCCTCTGCTAGCTGCTTGGAAGCAGCCCTCTGACACCAGCTGGGGGACAAACCCCCCCCCCCTCAGTTCTGACACGCTCACCCGCGGGCAGCGTCAGAGCCGCAGGGGAGGGCTGTCCTGCAAGAACCACTTCCGACGCCAGGGCAAGGCCTGGGCTGCTGACCCACTGCGTGCAGACGGAGGTTCCCGTCCCAGGCCTGGGCTGGCACCTGGACTTCTGACCGACTGGCCACAAACCAGAGGTTCCAACAACCCTCTCCTTGGATTCGAATACTTTGCTGGAAGGGCTCAAAGGACTCAGAGAAACAGGTGACTCGCTGGTCGCCACTTCATTGTGAGAGGCCGTCACAGCAGCAGCCAGATGAGATTGGTGCCCAGGACCAGGTGTGGGGAGCAGCCACACCGACCTGGGACCCCGTTCTTCTCGGCCCGAACCCCCTGGAAACACAGATGGGGTTCGGGGATTCCGGCCGGAGGTGTCAGTACTGTCCCGGGAGCTGGAGCAGGAGAATGAGACGATAACGCTGAGTAAGGGCTGTGGCCTGGTGACTCCAAAGTGCTGTGTTCGGGTCCAAGTCCGTTGTCTCACAAAATCACAGACAGTTCGCAGACAAGGAGGTAAGCAAAAGCCAAGTTTATTGAGAGAGAGACAGACTCCCACTAGCAGGGAGGGGACCCAAGTGGGTTGCTGCCAAAGCACTCTGTCTAGGGATATATATATGCCCCGCTGGCTTCTGATTGGTTCTTCCCTTAACTTCTCTATCTATAGTGTAGAGGGAGCTCTCTGTCTATAGGGTAGAAGGAGCTCTCTGTCTATAGGGTAGAGGAGCTGTCTATAGGGTGCTGGTTCTTCCCTGCCCAGTTGGGTTGCCCTGGCAGCTCCCGCCTAGCTGTGTTTTCACCCAGCCGGTTGCCTTAGCAACTAGCCAAAAAGCTGTATCCTGATATTCTTGGACTTCCCTGTTTTCCTTCAGTCCCGTGTCCCCGTCCCTAACCACCTAGTTCCTTCTCTCTCCTCACTGATGGGGACATCGAGGGGCGGAGAGCCGGCACAGCAGCCGAGACCCCGCCAGCCAGCTGAGGGGCCCACCTGGAGGGCCTCGGGCTTTAGTCACAACAGCCCATAAAAACCAACGCAGTTAACCATCGCCCCGGGCACTTCCTGTGCTGGCCACTTCCCAGGGAGCATCGCACGGGTCCTCAGACCATCTGCCCAGGGAGTGGAACTCTACTGTTTTAGTGCCCTGAGGACTCAGGCTCAGAGAGGGTACGCGACGTGCTCAGGTCACACGGCCGATACGTAGGAACATCCAAGTTCCAGCCCACGCTTCTCTGGCAGGAAAGCCTGACATCTTAGCTGCTTCGCGTGGTGAGATTGAAGCAGAAACGGCAACGGTACGAGACACTGCGAAGAGCCTTTGGTAATAAAAGAAGTAACGAGGACGCGCGTGATAGACGATCACCCAGCATCTGCCGGACGGAGGGTGGACCGTCGGGGAGCTCAGCAGGGCACCTAACATGGGACGCGGGCCCCTAGGCCAGGTGGTCCATGACCCTCACCTCCCACCGCAGCTGGCATGACGCCTGCCTGCTGTCCCCACGCTGCTCTCGGTCACCTGGACTCGGCCCCTGGGTCAACACTTCCTCCCCCTGCGCCCTCCCCCGAGCGTGTGGGCCTGCTGGGCAGGCAGCGTGGCCGGGCCTGGGACCCGGTCGTGTGTGGGTCTCCCTGGCGGAGCTGCTGCTCTGGAAGATGAAACATGGGGGGCAGAGGGCAGGGCTGGGGTCTAGGAAACACGCTCCCTCCTCCTCATTCACCTGACGCTTCTAAGAGGTGGACCAGGCAGCAGTACCAGTGAACAGGGCGGTTTCCAAGGCGATCTGCGTGCGCGTGGCCTCCTGTCCCAGGAGCAGCGCTGACTCGGCCCATGAGTGTGAGCATCACTCACAGAAGCGGGATGATTCTCAAGGAAGCCGCTCCCTTCTGTAACCCGGGAAACGGCTCCAGAACCAAGCAAAACCCCCAAAATGGCAGGTTTTTAAAAGCGCCCGTGTGCTTGTCTCCACTTGGTCAGAAACCTTTGTTTTGATTTAGCCGTATTGGTGCAACGCGGCTGAAACAAGCAGCTGCTATCACAGCGATATCGGGGAGCTACTCGAGCTGGTCATTCATTGTTAATCGTCTTCCGATGCTTAAACCAGACACCCCAGCTGAGGGCGGGAGACGCGGATTCTGTGAGCGCCCAGGGCCCGCCAGCGGTGCCGAGC